GATCTGGCCCACGATGTCGACCAGTAGATGAAAATGGTACCTGCTTTTCCTAACACCAACTGGCAATTATTTTTTGCAGAAAAGGTACTTATCAGAATAACGTGATCTTCTTGGGGAGTGATTTTATTGTTATTCCCTTAATTAAACTGAATGGTACAACACTAATAGCCATGAGAAGCCACTCGCACCTGATGTCTCAGCTGAAATCTCCAACATAAACACAATTTGAAGCAAGTGGCCACAGTGGTAGATGTGGCTGTATGTCCCCAAGGAAGCACCTCCCAGGGACCACTGGAATGGTCCCGTCTGGATCCCCAGGGCGGGGACAGCAGCCTGAGCTCTTTCGGAAACGAAGGGAATGATTTTGTTCTACTGAAACCCACACAGAGAGTTACACTAAAGGAAATAATTAGAAGAGAAGAAAACATCTGACATCTTAAGAATATGTACCGGGAGGACCGTTATGCATCCTCCCTGCAGATGCCTTAAAATGAAGATTATTTGAGCAGTAACCTATTCCCTTGTAACAACTTGCTCGGATTGCTTCAATTGCCAAAGCTGACTGTAGTGACTCAGGCTCCCATCACTTCGTATACCTTGTCCTTGGTAAATGTATCCACATGTAAGGATTATAGCTACTCTGCTCGTTTTTAATTAAAAAATTAATTGATATGGACCATAACAGCTGCTTCATTTTTAGTAACGTTTTCTGTGATGGTGATGTGGAAAGAAGGGGACAGACAGAATAATCATCCAGCCTCCTTTCAAACCAGTATTATTCTATTATTAGTCTAAGGTGATATTTAAGTATCGAGAAGCACTTTACTAAGCAGCAAATTACAGGAAACAAGGCTTGACAGAACAGAAATAACTTCCTGCAATAGAAGTTTTAGAATTTGCACATTTCTTTTTCTCAAATAAAAAAAAAAACAAAACAGAAAAGTGCCCTAAATGGCAAAACCGCATCACTGCTCAAATCATAACCAGGTATGCAAAGTACCATAAGGTTGCATTATTCTGATATTTTTTTTCTTTGATTAGCAAAATACCGTAATAGGAAAATAAGTATATAACAATTAGTAGATACTGCAGTTAAAAGACTTGCTAGTTTGGGTCCGTGGAGCCACTGGGGACTGTTGGGAGTTCCCATGGCAACCTCAGCACGGACAATTACGGAGCAGCTACAATTATTCTGAATATGCCTGTTGAGAACGGAGTTTCGTTTTGAGATGGCCACAAATAATGCCATTTGGGGAGAGAAAATTCCCAGCCAAAGGTTAAAACCCGGTGAAAAACAGTGACAGATTTTATCCTGCCTCCCCTTCCTACAGGCGTATATTTTTAACTGTAAATATTAATAAGGATGTATCATCTATAAATCACTGCAAAGAGTTGGTCATACTGCTAAATGAGCAGATAATTGATTCCTAAGTTTTAGTGATATAGGTGAGATCCAGAAAATACACAGATCGATTAAAATTTGTTGTATAAAAAAAATACTGCACTGCACCTATGCATAATATACCTCATTTTCTTTATGCTGGACAACTTCATACAGATAATACATAGACAGCATATAAAAAGAAAACTCCGTGCAACAAAATCTAAAAATACTTAGCGAGGTCACTGCGCTGTGTGATTCCATTAATGAAGCCACCATCCTCCTCAACTCATCTCTTTCTTTTCCAAATCTGGCCCCATTTGTTGGATAGGATCTAAACCTACTGTTCATTTTTGAACTGGTTTAAATCTGGCAGAATGGGCCAGGAGGAAACTTTTTCTCGTGACAAATAGTTTTTACTGTTCGATTACAAACGTAAGTGAAGAGAATGCTTGAATCTATTATTTATTGACTTATTTATGATCTCGTGTAGCTATTTTATGGTCGATTTACATTGAATAAATTACTTAAAGAATGCCAGAAGGTCCAGTAAGTAAAGCAGTGTGAGATTTGTGTGACCAATAACCATATTTAAATAAGAAGTCTGGGTTGTTAAAGTGGAGCTAGAAGGATGGGATAGGGTTGTGTAAACAGTTTGAAATCAATGAGAGCTTAAGGCCAAATCTTAAAGATGTCTGTCGAACTACAGACACACAGATATTTTAAAAATTCTTATTGATTTAAATGGGAGGTCGCTTCTAAGTGCTCTTGGAGATTCTACCGAGCACTTTTCTAAACTTTAGTCAAAAGGGCAAAGCCAGTTTTAAAAAAAGAAAAGTCTAAGACATTTTCAAAGACCTGAAACTGGTTTCTGAAATTTCACATCTACCGGTTCTCTGACCTTTTATAGCCTGAAAATATTCTTATTCTTTCTTAATATTAAGCAACCAAACTCTCATCCTAAAGTTTTGCTGTTTGCATCGGTTTGTATATAGCTCTTTACTCTGAAGACCACCACTATTCATTTTAAGTATTTTATATCAGTAATGCAATACTTCTGTAGAAACTGTTGTAATTTTGGACTCAAAATTAAATCAGGGTAGCTTGGATATCAATCACACTGTCATATACTGGAAAGTAGACCAAGCACCACAACTGTAGACTTGATTAGCAAGCACTCTGAAGTTACTCTTTTCTACAACCTGATAAATGAGAAGATAGCCCAGGATGACCTCTCCGTCTATCTACTTTCTTAATCTTCCTGACAAATACCCTCCCCTAGTAAAATGGCAGTCAAGATCTGCAATCTTCCTCCCGTAAGGTTTCAAAGCTGATTTCAGAGCAGTGGAAATATTTATTTAGATGATGTCATTAAGTCACAAATAGCAGCCTATTTCTCAGTGCTATCTACTTGTTCCTTAGTATAGGGTACCTAAAATAAAATGACTATGCAAGCCAAGATATAAACGATAAGAAAAATAACATAGAAGATGATCCGAGTCAGCACCACTTATGTACCATACCAGAATAGCTAATAAGTTAAATACCACCGTTCAGACATCTGTGCTGTTAATTTTTATAAGCCTGCACAGTGATTTCCCTTGAAACCAAGTAAGAACGTTACTTGGAAGGTGCTGCTTCCCTCTGTTCCTTCCCACAAGTGGCAAACTTTGAGAAAGAGGTTGACCCTACCTGCTTTTACCGTGTAATGCTGCATTACACTAGCCTTGGTCTAGTTATAATTACGCATTTTGTTCAGCTACCAATATTCCCATATATCATCACTGAGTTTTAAAAATGTTGATTATGCAACTCTGTAAACGATATTCCTGGAGACACTGTGTTCGCTGAAAACCTCTTCCCTTCCCTTGATTAATTCAGGCCACTAAAATAGCATCAGCCAGGCTACCTCCAGAACAGGGAAAGCCTCAAATACACAGTGCTGAAGCTGAACTAATTAGACTTTGAGACAGACTAATTATTTCTGAGGCAGAACTGACCCTATGTGAAGCTGCTGTGTCTGGGACCCAGTCCAGTAGCTTTGCACGATGCAACCTCTCAGGATTTCTACTCCACTTCATTGCAGGACACAGCTAAACCCTGGCTGTTCATTCTGCAACCAGTGGATTTACATTTGGCTTCAGAAAATAAAACCTAAGAGATTGTAAATTCAATACGCAAACTTACTGCATGTAAGAACTGACGTTTTTACATAGACAATTTTAGAGACTTGTCTCTGTCCTGAGAAAAACCAGGCAGATTTCTATACCTGTATCACAACTTATACATATCCACCCTATTCCAGACTCTGAATATTGCACAGAGACACGTAAGGGGTGGAAAGAGTTACTGTCGAAGCTATTCTTTCTAGGGAGGATAAAAAAGTAAATATGATCTTGAATAGAAAATGACCGAGTGCAGCAAAATAAAAACCCCACTGGTCAGATCACAACTGTAAAGAAAGGAAAATGGAATGGAGGTTCAAATACTTCTCAAATGTGTAACAAAAACCATAGTTCATGCTGCAGACAAAAGTATGGTAGCTGATCCAAATGTGTTCAGAAGAAATTGATGCATCTTTTCTTTTTCCTTCTTGAAAGTTGAACATGTGCCGTTTTTCCTCACTTCCTTGGGTTAACCCATCTTTTCTAATAACAAGGTAGAATTCTGCCTGATGGTGAACATAAAAAATTGCCATTTCAGGTTGAAAGAAACAGGGGTGTCTGTTTATGCACAACAGGTACATTCATTACTTTTTGGATAAACAACCAGACCGAAGCGTAAATGTTCAACCAGAAAAAAGAAAACAATACCGTAGATTGGAATATTTCAAACTCATGAGCTGAATCCAGCACAGCTATCCCCAAACCATACCTTTCCTGGTGCTGGGTTTAATGGTCTTTTGCTGCAATATTGGCTGTAGTGGTCAGAAGAGGCAGAGCTTCTGGCTATGCCTGTTCATTAGGAAACAACTCATTTGCACGGCACGCTGGGACCGTGCTTGGGACCACCAACCGCTCCAGTTGGCGCCACAGAAGGCAGAAGCCTGCGGAAAGCTTTGCTTTTCTTCAGTGCTGCTTTTCTGTACATAACCAGAAATACCTCTAATCCTTAAAAACTTCCATACCCACGTTAAAGATATCAGAATTTCAGATGACAGCCTACAAAGGTTTTGAGGCTCCAAATAATCAGTAATTAACACTGTAAATATTTTCTTGAAAAAAAAAAATGTGTGAAACATTCTAAGTATTAAAATACCATTGTTTCTGAGAATTTTATTTGTCAAATAACGTAGGTACTAGTGATAACTGCTTGCAGATTTTGCAGTAGGTATTAAAAGACATTGAAATTATTACATATACTTGACATAAAATATTTAAAAATACCAACTTATAAGTGTCCTAGCAGAGAAGCTGAACTGTCAGAAAAATTATACCACTGCTGAATTAAACCATTTGGTCCAATCTTCGAGAAACCCAAAGGCACACACTGCTGTCACAAGCAACAGAAATAGCAGCACTCTAATATATATGTATCTTGTAACAGGCTTTTTTTTTTTTTAAATAAAGTAAAAAGCATATTCCATGGATAGTTGCACCCATTTGTGTTTAATCCTCACCTCAAACTTCTGCCGGAGCTCTGCATTGCCATCTTCATCAGCATCTGGAATTGGAACATTATAATATTCACCTTCTTCTTGATTCAGCAGCTTGTACCTGTGGAATATTTGAGGGGAAAAAACCTGTAACTTTACAGTTTTATTTCTGTTAGACATAAAACCCCATTTGGTTGTTCATGTGTGGTTTGTATCAATGTCACAGGTGTGCGTGCCTGCCTTCAAATACCTAAAGCAAACTCAGGAACAGAATATATTTAACCTAAAATTAGATCTTTAATCCCAAACTATCTGTCAAGGCAGCTCAATGGACAAGGAAATTCTTCCTACTCATCCTGTGATATGATGGGAGACACCAGCCCTGAAGAACCTTTGCCTCCAGTGCTTCTATAGCCCTGAATTTCTTTTCATCTTTGATGAAATCCACTTTTGGAGAAGCGATGAGTTCTACCCCTAGCTTAGTAGGTAATAAGATGTCATTTTATGAAATCAGTTCCCATGTACTTTGAATTTGCAGAGCTATATATAACATGATACACTTAGTAATGAATATATCATATTTGAGATAAAAATAAAACGTGTATCACAAGACTATGTACACAAAATTGAGTTTGCAGCAGTTCCTGGCTCCAGCAGAAGTTTCACAAACGCCACAAAAGAAAAGCTTTGCTTTTATTGTTCTCCTTTGTTATATATAAACTACGTTTCCTAGGTTTAGTTTCGTTTTCAGTGAATCTATAGCCCAAGATACAGTGAAAAGCTCCAAAAAAGGTAGATTATATTGAAGAAAAATACTGGTTTTGAACTTTTTGTGATATATTCTCTCCTCCTCTCTTTTCAGAAACTCTTACCATCCACTGGCTGGCATTTTCATGAGCTCTGACACCCCAAATGAAAGAGATCCCATGAAATCATTTCTGGTTGTTCGATCCCAGTCCCAGACCTCTACAGATAACCGTCGATCTTTGTCTGCAGGTTTTAATTTACTAAAAAAAGAGAGAAATAGGGGAGTTTTCAATACAACACTGAAATAAATGATTCAATACATACAGAGATACTACATTAAAAGGCGTTAAACTTACAACGTGAATGACTCATTCCAGTCTGGATTCAGAGTAGAACGGATGGTTTTTGTTTTCTGTTTACTTTCATTCTTAGGATCAGGGATGAGCTTCAGTTTAACATAAGGATCTGAAAGTCCATTTGGATCCATGGGAATTAGGTTTTTTGCTTCTCGCACTGTCAATATAAAACACAGCTAATTCATATAGCTCTACGCTGTACAGCACAGCTCTATATATACACAAATCACCATTAAGAAAGCAATAACATGTCAACACAGAGTTATTGAAACGTTGAAAAATAAAACAAGTAAGATGTGAAACCCACTTGCCAGACTTGACATGGAAGAGACTACTTGTTGTAAAGGTTGCACTAAGCAATATTTGTAAGAACGGTAGAGAGTAATGACAGATAGAAGAGCAATTCACAAACACCATGCAGCTTCCAGGCAGCTCCTTTCCTGCAATGGAATGATTAAATGTCCAAACCCATCACTATAAATTTTTAAGCTGGTAGCAATTCTTTGTGCTTTTATTTCCTCATCAGTCTTAGGTTACACAGCTACAGGACTATCAGCCACATCCTGTATGGGTGACAGCCAGATCACAACGGATTTCAGAAGACGGGTTATTCAATACAATCCCTCACTGGAAGGTATCCAACACTAAACTTCCGTCAGATTCATGGTTCATTAGTTGTCAGATGGAATCGCTGTAAGCGTTGTGTCACGACAGCGACCAAAGTAAAAGCGCAGAGAAGACAAGTTTAACTTCAGCTTCACAAAAATGTTAATGTGGCTTCTATTTTTACAATATCAAAAGAAGGCATAAAGTGAGTTAATATATCTCATGTTGCTACTGATCCCCAAAGAGAGAGAGAAGAACAGGCAGCAATCTGCAGAGGGCGCCATTCCCCGCGAGGCCACATCCCTACGTGGAACGAGGCAGACAATGGTGGGTTATGAAGGCATTTATCGGGGGGTCGGCCGCTTTCGGGTGTCAGTCTGGCTGGAGATACTGCATCAGCAAGCAGGGTTCATTATGGAGTTCAAAAGTCACTGCAGGGAGTGGAGCATTCCAACGGGTGAGCAAAGACAGCACCTCCTCCCTCTTGTAGTGGACTGGCACAATGTCTGGGTAAGAGCTATACGATGTGTAAAGTTTTATTCCGTGTTAATGGCATTCCGCCATCAACTTCAACTGAACCTCAGAAGAAGAGGTGAATTTTCCTCATGCCGTGAAATCCCATCCCACCCAAACCAGTCACGCTGCAATGAACTGCAGTGATGGAGTTGGAGAATTCAGCATTCACAACAAGGCATCTCGAAACCTATCAAGAGCAATAATACTCCGGGCTTGTTTTGGACAGAAAACAGTTTTCATTTGGGAATTCCTTTGTGAGATTCATAGTTTAAGATCAGAATTGTTCCTGGGAGGAAAATCTCAAGAAGCTTGGAGGGTGACACAGTTCCTAGGGTATGAGGGAAGGCCAGCATTTAAAGAGTGAGTCTCTAGACACACGGCCCCGGATTGACAGTGCCCTCGGCTACTGCTTACACAGTGTCAGCAGGAGAAGGGCTTTTTAAATTTATCTACCTAACCAAAGAAATCTGAAAGGCAATTTTGGAAAGATCAACCCTTAATTCACCTAATATTTCTTGATGGAAAACATTTCCCACAAAAACTTGGAACTTTAGAATGCAATCACGTAAAAACACCCCAAATTTGGCAGGATGTTCAGCAACAGACAGCTACTCTTTGCTCAAGGCACTTTCCTTCTTTTCCTCCAGATTTAAATGGCATTTTCATATTATGAACAAAAATTATAGACCTTTGCAGGATTTCAACCTGTTACTTCCCAGCATGGAGGTTGAAAGGCATCCAAGCAACACAGATTTTTTTATAATGTGTTGCTTACCCTCATTATTTATAGAATAAGGAGAGGACAGGTTTTGGGCAACAGTCAAATGACTTGTAAACCTGCTGAAGCACATCTTTTCAAAATGTCCTTTAGAAATAAAGGCAGGGCGGTGGTGGATCCACAACCGTGTGCTCCTGCGTCCGCAAGACAGAAAAAGACGGACAATGGATGTAAAGCACCGGACAGATATCGCTGTGCTTTACTTAAGGACAGTGAAATGAAAGATGGAGGTGTTGAAACACCGTCATTATAACACAGAACTGAAGGTGATTTACAGAATCACACAACCGTTCCGTTCCTTATATGCCAAGCATATTCACAAGTCGATGTAACCAGCTCTAGGCTGACATTTTCCTTCTACATGACGGAGAGAGTTGTTTAGTGCTCATAATGATTGTGTTCTTCCCAATGATATAACTGCTAAGTAGTGCTTTAATGCAAATCTACTACTTAGCTGCTGTGTCATTTGATTCAAGCCAGAGAGGGAAAATTCTTGGGGAAAAACCCAGCCACTGCCATGGAAAAGACAATTTCATTTTGGCCTGCGCTCTTTATTTAATGAGAGAGTATTAGGTGTGGTAGAACAAGTTGGAAGAGGGAAATACCACACCTAACTGGTACCTTATATCCAAAACAGCTGTAGAAAGAAGGTAGAGTACAGGAATGCAAGCTACTTATTTGGCACACACTGGTTTATTTGTCCAGGTAATACTCATGCAGAACAGATACCCTGATGTAAATTAATTATTGAAATTAGATCATGCCTGGAAAAGAGTTACATTAACCTACAGTTGATACCAATTAAGTTATTTTTCTTAAATTTGTGGTTTTGAGACAGAAAATGCTTATGGGCTAAAATTTTAAAATAAAATTTAATTTTATTCACTCAAATAATTGTACCAGGAAAAAAGGCACTGTGTTTTAAAAGAACAGAACAGAACCAGTATCTGTCTTGCAGAACATTTCATTTCTAGTTTTCCACAATCCCTGCATAAAGCTGACACGGCTTTGCACTTGGGGAAACAACAGCCTTGAGTCCAGAGAAATTGTCTTCGCTCTCATTTACTCCGAGTTTGCCCTTTGAGGGTCTCTATACCCAGTGGTCAGCTGGAAAACAATTCCTGTTTTCAATCCATAAACTCCCCCTACACCCAATATTAAAATTTAGCACACTGAATGTGATCTTCAAATACGTCTGGAATAACATCAAGGTTAAAGAACTTTAGTTAAATATTTACAATCCCAGAGGGACTAAGAACCATAAAGTGAGTGAAGGATGAAGTGACAGCTTTCAATGCAAACTGCCCTCTATATGTTTTGTTTCCTTGTGCATGACACTTGCGACTGCACTGCTAGGTTTGGCACATAAGCTGTTACTTCAAAATCCATATTCTGGTTTTTATTTCTATACTGTAGTTTGCCATAAGCGAGGAGCAGAACTCTACTTGTTCTACAGCTTCCCAGAAATACACACTAGGAAGTTCTTCATTAAAATTCCTTGAACAAAATTGCTTCATTTTAACAAGTTGTCTTCAGACTGATCCTTTATGCTTAAATTCTACCTGGAGATGCTCAATGTGAAACCAAGCAGAGTTTTGAGGAATTGGCCGGGTGGATGCAGAGCCATTCTCCAAGGCTCAGCTATGGAGAAGCTCCCTGGAGAAAGCCATCACAGATTGGCCTTGATACACGCTGCCAAGCCTAGGAAACACCACTGACAGCAGGGGGGCCTGGCAGGGTGTTTCAGGCTACTTCTTTCTTTTGCAGCAAACACAGAAAAAGAAAAAAGCCCTCTAAATACAAGAAAAAAAGAAGCTCAAAGATGAATCAGGAAGCAAAGATGCAACGTATACTAAATACAGGCTGCCAAAGAAGTCATTATCTCACTCCTTGTTTTAAGGTATCTGGCCCATTTGTACTTTTGTCTACATAATTAGTACCCTTAGACATCTTTTTTTAACTGACATAGCACTTCCTTTCTTGAGGAAACAGCATGATGATACTTGTGCTAAATAGCGCTTATAAAGAATTATCATTTAAGCGGTCCATCTCTTTAAGGGCACCCTATTTTTAACGAGGCAGGTCGGCTTTCTAGAACAGGGCTGACAGGCGGAAGAGATTCCCCCTCCCCACCAAAGGGACTACCTCTTGCGTATGGCTGAAACGGAAGAAGTTAAATGAAAAACAACTCCAAGAAAATAAATCAACTTACTGTGGCTGAATTCCGCTACAGCTGTAATGATAGCACGTGATCTCCTACTGCTTTATAATTATTAGTTAATTAAACTCAACACTGATAAAGATGTTACTCTAGTTTGTAGATGGTTGAAGCGAGACACAGTTCAACATCGCTCAGAGTGTAACTTGAACCTAGAATGCTACTTGCCAGTTTTCTGGCATAACGATTAAGTGTGATAAGGACCTCAGTACTGGGCAAAGTACCTGGTTCAAGTTAAATCTCCTGACGTTTTGTCCAGATTAGACTCTTAATGGGGACTGAGAAAGCACACAGATTAAGAGACAGCAAAGTATATATTGACATTTCTAACAAATTCAAGCTTGCCCACGCCCATGTTTTCCTTCTAAAATCCAGCAACAGTTGCCTACTTGCCGCAGGGAAAGGAGTGTACCATTTTCCTCATCATTAATAAAGAAGAGATCATAAATGCTTAGTCAGCAGAAAACGTGGGCTATTTGATGGCTGTGCAATTATGTGCTACTTCTAATCCAGCAGCATCCATCCAGAAGCATGCCTAGAACTGGGACGCCTACTTTTCCAGGAATAGTATAAAGACATAAGCAAATACAGAGCTGGTTCTTAGGTATTCATACTTTAAATAAATATCTAAATAAGACAGAGTGGGCTGGCAGAGAACAACTGCCATTTTACGCAAAAAGAAGAAATCTAGGCAGAGTTTTGAGGAATTCAGAAAGTAGATGACAAAACCGGAGCTCTTTCCATGAGATCGTATAGATCAAAAGTTGCAAGCCATATGCAGTTATGGATTTATATCTCCTTGTGATACCACCAAAGAAATTTAGTCATGGGAATGAGTAAATAAAAGTTTCTGCCCCTATAATTAAGCTGAATTTTTAGCAGCGTGAATTTAACTCAGTTCCTTTTCAAGTGAGTCACAGCTACCTTTTTCCTGAATTCCCAAATGTTGATAATAAAACAGTTTACTAATCACAGCAACCCTTCCTTGCCAATCTTTTACTCCCTACAGGCAACTTAGATGGGCAGAAATCTCTCAACC